AGATTCCTCCTTCGCCGCGAACACAAGCTCGGAATCGCTTGAGAACGCTGTCCATGGTGGCACGGAGGTGCTTCACGTCGACTTCCTCCCACGCATCCTGAAGAGCACGTCGCAGAGACTCCACAGTCTTGCGTGAATGACCGCAGGCTTTGGCCTAAAGAATTGACCACTTGCGGTAATCAAGGGTGTTCAGATCCGGCCAATACGGAGGCCATTCAATAGGAGTAATGAAGTCCTTAACGTTGCTTTGGAGCCATGCTTGAACAACCTTCGCTTAATGCGCAGGTGCGCTATCCTGCTATGAGCACCAATCGCTCCCAGCAAATGGGTACTGGTCCAGGCCAACAATTTCTCCTCCAGGATGCTATTTACATGCGTGGCACTGTCCACCTTGAGCAATGAGACCCTAAAATCCAGCGGCATTCTGCTGTCGGAAGCGATCGCCGCGCAAATCGTCACAAAAACCGTATGAAGCTTTCCTTCTGCAAGTAAACCCTTGTTATTGGCTTCTTGAGGCGTTTAGGTGATGACTCTGTTGTTTTGGCGATCAAAAACCTGCTTCACGGTGAAAAATTTAACGTCAGAAAAGATTATGTTTGATGGCGTGCCTTGGATAGTCCTTCAGGCATTCGATGGCATCCGCGCAGTCAAATCGGCTTCGTGTCTTCCCAAAAAGCATGAAATATTAGCATCTTGAAAAGCTTTATCCCAAGGCCTTGTTCCACGATGTCGGAGACTTTTCTACTAAGGATGAACAGCTTTGAATCCAGCTCAATCGAGCTTCTACGAGGATTGCGGCGATGGCGCTGGCGAACGATCTTCAGAATTTTGTGAGTGTCCGCAGTAGCCAATTTATCACTCGTACAGCAGTTCTGGGTGCTGTTCATATTCTGGAAACGACGCAAGGTGGAAAAGACTTTGATTTGTAAAATTTGGGGAATCCGCGCAATCTGCTTTCTAGCCATCCTCTCCTCGTGCATCTTCGCCACCAACGATCGTTCCGTTCCAGAATCCATATCCCCGACAGGAATAAAGCTAATATTCCAGTTTTTGAAGGGCTTGTAAGTAAGGGTATAAGAAGCAAATACATATAATTAGTATGCAAGAATATGTGGAAAATCCGAACATACAATGACATCAAAAACTGTTCAAAGACTTTCCCCCAACCCTGTATTTAGGTCGGATAGCCTCGGATGGACGTCAGCCCGCGCGCTCCTTTCGGCTGACATAGTCCTCAAAAGTCAGGGCGACTACGAATTTGAGTCTTATTCAACAGATATAGCCGGATCGCACATTACATTGAATGAGAATCAACTCGGCCTTTTCAAGTGCCAATACCCAATAGCCGCGGTCGACAGCGCATACGGCGCAGGAAAAACCTTGTGCACAGCAGTCATGGCCAAGGATGCAGTCAAGGACGGTCAAAAAATCCTAGTCACTGCGGTACAAAATAGTGAATTAGACGTTCTCGGCGCGAAAATTCAACAACTTGCGGACACAAACATACGCGCAGTTCGATATGTTGGCGAAACCCTGGCTAGTGGCACACTTACCACCTCCACGTTCGCCATCCAAACACTCATGGTAAACTTCCACGTCACTCACAGGGATCTTCTGTTTGACGCCCTCTACCGCAAATTTGAGAACTTCTCCAAGGCCAGACAGCAGTTACGTGAGTTTGTATTTTCCGGAACGGATCGATTTGTAGTCACCAGTGAACATAAGCGTCTTCTGTTCATGGAAGAACGGACCTCTACAAATATTCAGGTATTAATCAGTCAATTTTTGCGTTTGTATAAACCAAATGTGTTCTTATGCACCGTATCCTCCGCACTGAACCTCACATTCAAGCAAGGAACCTGGCGCAGGATAGAGAACTCGTGGTCATCCATTCTCATAGACGAAGCGTCTATGGTTCCAGAAGCTGCACTCATGGCCCTCATGTCACGATTCCAGCATGCACGCTTCACTCTTATAGGAGATAGCAAACAGCTTCCGCCATACATCGGCACGCAAACGGTACCCCTTGCAGTGGACGTCAGCATGCGCTCGGTCCTCGACCTAGTTACCAGCAAGCAAGGCATGCCTTCGTGTACCATTCGCACCGTCTACCGCCACCATGTCGAAATGATGCACCTCAACTCAGAAATTTTCTACGGTAACACTTTAGTATGTGGAACTCCGCCCGAGTAGCGCCAGCTTCTACTTGCGCACACCCGCATGCCCAACGCCAAAATACCCGTTGCATTCGTAAATGTACCATCGAAGTCCGAGCAATCAATTACAGGATCTCACAGCAACATCATAGAAGCCAATGCCGCATATGTCATCGCACGCATGCTCATTACCAACGGCATAGCACCAAGGGATATACTTGTCATATGCCTTTACAGGGACCAAAAATTCCTGTGCGATAACATTTTCCAGGGATCCGGAATCACAGTGGGCACGGTGGACAGCGCCCAAGGAGCTGAAAAACCTATCGTAATCCTCTGCACCACACGCACGCACATAGAGCCATCAGCCAAGCCCACGTTCTTTTCCGACCCAAAGCGGCTCAACGTGGCCCTTTCGCGCGCTCGAGATGGTATGTTTATCCTGGGCGCCTTGACCTTTTTGCAGAACGCCCCAACATGGACTGAAGTCATTCGATGGTGCACCCACAAGAACCTTATCACCGACCTGCATTTCTTCGACGCTGCAACACTACATCCACTACGTCCCTAAGTCCGAGGACGGACTTGCGTAAAGGGGGGAGATGTAAGAGAGCGCAGGGTGAGTAATGAGATCTCTCAGATCTTTTCAAATTTCTAGCCATTACGTGGGCTCTGTGTTTATTCTCCCAAGCTCTCTTCTCGCCCTTTGCTCACAGATCGGTGGTGCGATAACTCGACGTGCAGGGCATAAAGACCAGAGGCAGAACGGTACGGCAGTATGGTGAATGGACTCTGGCGACGTGTCGTCTTTGGGTCGCCAGACCCGTCTCTCGTGCTTCCAGGATCCTCATTTCTAGCTGATCTCGATTGTGTTCTCATTGATATTGATGTGTTGTCGTTCCGTGCTTGCCCATAAATGTATATCTCGTGGATGTGTTTGTTTGCTGTACAGCTGAGGCTAATGAGTGGTGGGGGCAAGTTAGAAGGCCCGATCAAAGAGAGGCTGATCGTGGTTCCTTTAGTAAACTAACCTTTTCTATTTCTTGTGTAAACTTTATTTTTACGACTTCCCTTAGGTTTTAAAACTGTGGCTTTTGGTATATCAGTGCAAAATCAATGTGATTCAGAGGCCAGTATGTCATATGGTTTCGGAATGCGTTTCAGTAGAGGGGTCGACTGGCGAGTTGCCAGTCAGAGGCCCGTGGACTACTCCAATTAGCCTAACATTCATCAATTTGTGCATACCTTATAGTTAGTCAAAACTTTTGCAAGGTATTGTTATCGTTTGTCTTGCTGTCTATTAGTCAGTAGTTTCAAACCTTCAACTGCAACTATATCGAATTTGTTCATGTTGATTTTTTCGCTGTTCCTTTATTGTGATTCAATAAGTAAAGGTTTAATTACCCGAGTTTGAGGTGTTGTGTAGAGACAAGCCCCGCGTGGGAGACAATCTTCGTGATTTTGGTTGACATTGGTAATAAACAATTATGATTTTGGACCGTGACCCTTCGAAATATAACGTATATTATTTGCATCTTGAAGCTCTGATTCCAAATCTGCTTTCGGTATCTGCTGTGCGCTCTTCCGAGATAATATAAACATTTCTTACCACCAAATTTGCGCTGTTTTGATGACAAGATTCATCAATATCGTTAGTATGTTCACTTATGCACTATAAAAGTTCAGATAAAAAAATTTTACGTTTAGCTCAGGGAAACTTGTTTTCCGATATATCAGTGTCTGGAAAGCTTGAGTACTGGCGATTCTGACTAGATTTCGTGGAATTAATATGGAAAAAAGTCCATAACCGCACTGCTGCTAATAAAAATGGACTTGGAATCAGCGTTTCAAGGCGCATCTACTGGTATACACCTCACTGCAAAAGGTCACAGTCACTAAGTATCCTTTCCTTGTAAGTGAGTTAGTAGAACGCGATATAGAAAGTCCAACTGAGATGTTTTTATTCGTTTTCAATATGGTGAACGTGAACATAGTCTGACCCGCTACAAAAATTGGTACTATTCCACATTAGTTGACCCAAAAAATGAAAGTCGTGAGTTTGCTAAAACTTCGTCTAGGAAGGTGATTTGGTATGATGAACAAGAATATGATGTTTATTTCGTGCGATAGCGCCATCCACTGGAGTAACGGTATATCACGAATTTGCCCGAAACTTGGCCCAGAGGGGTTATTCGGCCCGCTGATGCCAAATATCGCATTGGTTTTGAACCGTTGCGTCATTTTCTCGGGTTACGGTAGCTACACGGTAACGGGTGTAAAACATAGTTCTGCCTGAAACGGGTGTACGGCGATTCGGACGATCGTGAAGCTTTGCACACACGACCACCGCCGCGCGCTACACACCCTGCTGCGGCTTTTGCCTAAGCAAAGCACAGGGGAAAGATACATTTGCCGATTTGTGATTTTGACCCCTACCGTAAACCTACCGTGCAAGGAGACGTTTTCGTGCGGAAAAAGTGTGACATTTCTGATCAGCATGTCGAATAACCCCTCTGTGCGAAATTACAGCGGATTTTGAGATTTTGACCCCCTACCGTATACCCACCATAACCCCGAGAAAATGACGCTACGGTACAAAAACAATGTGATCTTCAGCATCAGCGGGCCGAATAACCCCTCTGGGCCAAGTCTTGGGCAAATCCGTGGTTTTGACCCCCTGCCGTAATCCTCCGTAGCTCCACCGGATGGCACTGTCGCACGAAATGAACATCATATTCGTGATCAGCGTACCAAATAAACTCCCTAGACGAAGTTTTAGCGAAATTCAAAATTTTCATTTTTTGGGTCAACTAATGTGGAGTAGCGCCCAAATTATTAGTATATGGTCTGCGTCCCAGCGTTCTTTCCATAGCACCACTTCGCAGACTTTTCGCCTTTACGCCGCCTTTGACGCGTTTTTTGAGACATTCAATTCGGATTCTTCTACGCAAATAAGTCAAGAGCAGCAAAGCGTTGCGCTGCGGTAGCAACCATGGGGAGAATTCTGGAACATTTGCATAGTGACAATACCAAAGGATGCAATTATAGATTCATCAAAAATGCAGGCATCGCTATCAAAGAAAATATGTCAACAAAATTTCCTCAAATTAAAAAGGAATGACTTTTAGATGACGTTCGTAATAACCGCCACTGTGTTGTTTTTGCAGCTTTGACATTGAGTCGAGCAAGGCTGAGGCGGAATCGCTCACCTAGAAGAGTAAAGAGTTATAATATGTATTGCAGAGCAGAAATCTTATGACCCACAGTAACAGCAGCTGTTCGTCCATTCATATTGCCCATATCAGTCTGTACCCAACCTGGGCAAAATTGCGTCACGATAATTTTATCCTTAACCAAGTCAACAGCCATCGTTTTACCGAGCTGATTCACACCAGCCTTAAATAGACTTTTATGCTCTACAAACGTCGAGATTATAAGCCGTGATGTCAAGTTTTGCTAACCTTGCTGACTTTGTATGCAAGAGCTCCCAATTCACCTGACCCATCGGTATTTTCGCTGATAGAACCCCATCCACTAGATATATTCACAATCGCAGCTCGATCAACGCCCCAGTGATCGCCGGATACATGAGCAGAGGCCTTTTTCAGGAGAGGTAGAAAAGTCTGTAATTATTTGACTAATTTCTCCTCTGATGACTTTGCTTAATACTGCGTTCACAGTTGCCCTGTGCCAGCGCCATGCTAGCGCCAATGCTCCGCCCACATGCATGCTCCCCATACTGATCGATCAACCTCGTTGGCACGGCGCTGGCACGCGTGACTATGGACGCAGCGTAAGAAATGGTGAGATAAAACAACATACCTGACTGACGATTGTTGTCCCCAGTAAGTTCACATTCATGCACTTTGCCAATGTTTCTCTAGATATCGGTCCATTGGTGAAATATGGAGGTAAAACACCGGCGTTGTTTACTAGAAGGTTTAATCCACGGTCCCCTACAATCTTCTCCACCTAAATCTGCTTCAGCAATTTTTGGCCCCTCACACCTGACTGTAAGGTTACGGTACCTCGGCGTAAGCATCCTTGATCGACTGCTCGTTTTCGATGTCTATTTTTACTATTTTCAGTCGATCGTCTTTGATTGCTTTCAAATCCTAAATCCAGAAAAGGCACTCGTATTCTCAATCAAAGAAAAATCCAAGCTATCTCTTTCAAAAATGTATTATAATTGAATAGAAAAAAATATTACGAACTTTAGCATTATCGGGGTTCCTGGCACCAGCTATTACGTGCTCTACTTGGCTGATTTTGAGAAATGCTTGCACCAAACCAAATCCGATCCCCCGGTTGGCGCCAGTAATAAAGACTGCTGATGGGTAGACCATCTAGAAACACGTTCTATAATTTATCATCTGATAAAAACGTCATGATTGACACGAACTGGACATCACAATAAGACAGAGAAACTCAATTTTTGGAGAGATTCATTGCGATACTGAACATTGATTTTTGCTGCGTACTGCTATGATTCAGGCCAAAAAAAAAAGAATGATTGAAAAAAGTAGCAGGCCGACAAAGCGAACAGCGGATGGAAAAAAACTGAGTGATTACAACGGTAGAAGAGACAACAACAACATCTATTGATTTCTTGTGTCCCTCCCCTCCCCCTTCCCTGCACCTAGAAACATTGTTCACCTGCACTAGATAAGAGGACAACAAGCATGATATGATCAAAGTTTTGCAGTGACAGCGCTTTGAAAATATTACAAAAGAGTTTTTGATAAAAAGAATGTGCAGAAACAGACAATAAAGAAAGCGAAATTGCTGCCACTGCCTATCATGAATGGCCAATAAAAATTTCAATTGAAAGATGCCTTTTTTAATTTTCGTGCCACTTAATATTCTCAAGTGTGTACGGGGACATTATGAACCGGATCCACAGTGAGTGCCTCAAAATCACGAATAGTTACAACTGCTCTGACTCTGACACAATATCGCAAGTTTTCAATAATTTTGATTCAGCCCTTCTTCCCCCCCCCCCCAAAATGTCTCGAATATTTGAAACTTCTTCATGGGCTATCGTAGATGATTTAGGTGGTTTTTGGTTTTTTTTTCAAATAGTCAGACTAGCCTCTTGAAAAATTTTTGAGGGACTCCAGCCTTGCGGGTTATGGGCGGCCTGCAAAAATTCGGAGAGCAAAAAAAGTACGAATAGCTAGCAGTTCATGCGAACAAGTTTTGTCCCCCCCCCCCACTTCAAAAGCAAAATCGTGGGACCGCCATTGATATAAAAAATAGCCTCTTCAAACCAAATAAAAAATTCTACTTGCAAAAATACTGCAAGTTTACTGCAGAAGGTAGTGGTAATACTGACATCGGCTGAATGATTCCCCAAAAATTCCCATAAGAATGTAGATAAATGGGCCCAAAAAACGCCGAAGGTCGAGAAATTCGATGCAAACACACTAATCATGGGCAGACGGAGAAAATGCAACTGAATTGATGGTAACGAAGACTGGATGAGAATACAAACCAGATGATGTAATTTATTGTCAAGGGCAGAAAAATGATATAACGTAGGGTGATAAAATGCAGGAAGATAATGGAAGGCTGTAAACAGCGTTTGATGACAAACATTTCAGTAACACTATAGCGGACTGAATTTGTTAGACAACATGCCGATACTAACCTTAGCAAAGTCAAAGTTCGAAAAAGTCTTTCATCTCATTCACTTCTTCTTCTCCTTACAGATCTTCTGTAAGGTAATTTTACCCAATCTCTCGAAAAAGTTCCCTAAGTCGCATTCGTTCATTCGGCTTCCATTTGTTATGATCGCCACTATATAGAATGCGGATGGCATATTTCATGAAGAATGCGACAATTTCAGATCAAAACCGAATGAAAAATTCTGAGACTGTCCTTCAATCTTGATTTAAGCGTTGAAAACGAATTTATCACAGGATAGATTGAAAGTATGCATATATCTCAATTGTGGAAGCAAACGAACACCTTTTGCTGTAAGGTGATGAACTTTCTACATTTCCGCACCGCATCCCGATATTTCGTGGTATTGCAGTTGATAAAAAAGAACGCTTTTCGAACCACATAGAATTCTTATTAGCGAAAAAGACTGCAAGGTTTTTGCAGAAGACAGTGATATAGTGACGGCTGGAATGGATACGCTAAAAATTCTCGAAATGGAAAATGTAGACGAATGGTACCAGAAAAAAAGTCGATTGAAAAGTCGCCATAGAGATTACGTTTTGGAGTGGAATACAACCATAGTTTGCAAATGACTCCAGAAATAACTGAAATGGTAGCAATTCATGCTTCCGAAATGTCGAGGCTGTCATGGATAATCGCAAAAATGATTGTGAGATGTTTTACAACTGTATCCCTTAACTATTCTATTACAACGAAAAAGAAGTCCACAAAAGCAAGAACGTTTCATAGAAACATAGATAGCCAACGATATATCGTGAATATCTCCGTGCTGAGTGTAACCGCATCGTTAATCCGTTTAACCATAATCCTGGGATCATTAACACACAATATTACAGGCCATAATTATACAATGTGTGAGAGTTTCAATCAGTAGGGAATGGGTTTCAGGTGACGAGTGAAAAATCCGCCACTATGTTGCTTGCGCAATTTTGACATCGAGTTGACCAATGCTGAAGTCGATTCTTCTACCTGCAAAATCAAACTAGCAATGATTTTGGCCAAGAAATTAGCAGTGTAAGATAACTCACAGTTAGGGTAGCTTTTCGTCCCTCCATGTTACCCATTGCAGTTCTGACCCAACCTGGGCAAAATTGTGTCACAATTATTTTGTCTGTCGCTAGATCAGTAGCCATTGTCTTACCAAGTTGGTTGACACCCGCCTCAAATGGATGATTTATTTCGCTTGAATAAAAACTGATACACTGGCATCCTAATTATTCTAACCTTACTGATTCTGTAGGCAAGCGCACCCAGTTCGCCTGATCCGTCTTCGTTTCTACTGATTGAACCCCAATAGCTGGATATATTTACAATTGCAGCACGATCAATGCCCCAGTGGTCATCAGAAACATGAGCGGAGGCCTTTTTCAATAGAGGTAAGAAAGTCTAGAACATATACGTGGACTAAACTTATTTGAAATTTATGCGCAAAACAGGGATCGTAGAACGAGGACAAACCTGACTAACGATAATTGTGCCCATTACATTGACATTCAAACACTTCGCTAATTTTTTCCTAGAAATGGTTCCGCTGGTGAAATAGGTCGGTAACACACCAGCATTATTCACAAGAAGGTTCAGCCCACGTTCTCCCACAATCTCTTCCACCTGAAATGGTTTGAAACAAGATCTGTCAGCTATCTTACATCCCTTGTCGTTTTTTCGAAGTAGAACAATCTTATTTAACTCAATTCGCTCCCGCACCCAGCAGCATTCTCGGATATCTCTTACGAGGGAAAGCCGGGAAAAAATGCGAATTTTTTTGAATGGAGAGGTGATGTGCAGTCATGGATTCCAGAGAATTTGGGAGATCTTCCCAAATTCAGGTTAAAAAAATTACTAAAATTTCTTGAACCTAAAATTCTAAAACCTAATCTGGTTGTTACCAAGTTTATGGGATAAATGCAACTGCCTACAAAAAATCCAGCTATTTGCATAGGTAAATACCTGAGCGCAAGCGTCTACAATCGACTGGTCGTCTTCAACGTCAATTTTAACGACATGCAAACGGTCATCACTTATACCATGCAAGTCCTAAATTTAAAGTGTATTAACACTTCTATTTGATAAAAACATGAAACACCCACAATTTTCGTTTGCACAGTGTAGAACAAACATAGAAGTAGTCCGAATACTGTAAAGGATACCTTCGAAGTATCAGGATCCAGTGCTCCTGCTATTACATGTTCTACCGTTTTGATATTCAGAAACTGTTGCACCAAACCAAATCCAATCCCTCTGTCAGCTCCAGTTATGAAGACGGAGGCTGGATAAACCACCTGGAAACATTTACATGGTTGAAAATCAAGATTATCCAGGTTGGAAAAATGATCAGTTCTGCATCAGAAACCGATTGAGTATTTGATATTCATAAATGGCTTGCAGGCGGCTTCGGTGCAAAGCTAACAAAGTTTATAAGCTTGATATTATATGACCAGTGCTTCACTTCTGCTTCGCAGAGGCTCGCACTGGCCATCAAGAAACGATGGTAAACTTACGATGTGAAGGCTTTCTTTTAGATTATTGCCAGGTTCACTGCGGTAAGATAGTTCCTAATTAAAAATGAACCATACTCGCTAACAGAACCTCACATGCTGCAGTGTATTGTAAATCATTCCTCACTGTATTTTCGTAACAGACAGACTTACAGACCGACAAATAAGCGGTTTATTATAAGTCATGATACTTCGTCATTTTGAAGTAAAAAACCTTAGTTAATAAAATATAAAACCACGGTAAAAGAAATGAAACAAAACGAAGGTCAAAGAGAGAAAAAAATCAGCATTCACAACAAATCTTGTCAAAAAAAAAACTTTCTTAACATGTTTCGACTTACAGATTCTACACTGCCCGAGTTACCACCACCATTACATCCACGCTCTTCATCTCGACTTGCTTTTATCCTCTCATCACTGCGTATTTTCTGCTAATATACAAAATAAAAATTCATGAATACGAGCAATTGAGTATTTAACTTCGTCTACAATACAGGGCACCAATTTTGTGTTCGTGTCAATACTGGGTGGTTCTTTGTAAACGTGTAGTTCAATGAAACTCCTCTCATAAACCTACCTCACTTTTTTGCTTGGAAGGCACACACATGCAAATATGACCGAGAAAATCTTTTTTGAATTAAAATGAAAGCGCTCGCCATGCTGGCAAGAACATATCTCTGACTTGTTTCACACAATCTTGCTGAAGGGATGAAATTGTGCGAGGTCATAAGAATGAGGTAATTAGGACGATGAGAATGCGCTGACGAAAAAGTAGCGGTAAGAAAATGGAAAAAAATTTAGTATCCCTTTGCCACATATACAATACAAAAAGCTATCCTTCAGGGGTAAGCTGATAGTATTGTTAGAATTGCCTTTTTTACCGTAAAAATACGGAAAAACCCAAAACTAATAACATAATCCTCTAAATCACTTTATCCATTCAATCTGTACAAGAGGCCCAAACGGAAAAATGACCGTATGATTCTGCAAGAGGGAAACAATGAGTGAAAATGAGGTGCAATGAGATATCAGAACAGGAAATAAGAGTTAATAGACTGCACTGAGTTTATGGATACTTCTAAATACAATTTAACTAATCATCAATAACGTCCCCCTTAGCGCCAAGCCTTTGAGGATCCTGACTCGGATAGTAAATGCTACTGCTGGCTTTAGATGAACTTGCTTCATCACCATTCCCACTTGCTGTTGACAAGGATGTACCTGAACAAAAATAGACAGAATGACGTGAGTACAAAAAGTACCAAAAGCATACTTGTCGGAGGAGGTCGCAATGGTGGCACGACAAGTTTGGCTGGTGCGGGGAAAGAGGGTGGTACAGGTGGGAGTGGTATATTCAGAGTCTCAACACGCGGCCGTTTCGAAGATGGCGCCAAATCGTCTGGTACAGGGCAGGCTGAAAAAGCAAATCTTGATAAATTTTTCTTATAAATTAAGATAGCTCTCTGACTACGCGCTCGCTGCAAAAAATAGAGTGAAAGTTCGGAGCACAGATAACGACTGTTTTCAAAACCTGGATACTTAAAAAATCACAAGAGCATGAATAGGATTTTTGAACTGAAACAAAAAAACTAACGATTTGGAAGTGATGGAACTGGATTAATAGGACGTTCTTCAACTGATCTTTGTGCCTGTGGTTGACCCCAACGAATCACGAGACGTCGACCCTACAAATCAGCATAACAAATCATACAGATCATTAATCCGAATTATACATCGGAAAGCACCCAACCTTCAAAAACAGCTTGTTGAAAGACCTTTCTGCAGCCATTTCGCAAGCTTCCCTCGTAGTGAACTGAATGAATGCGCAAGACTTTGCATCCAATAATCGTAAACTTCGGATATCCCCAAACTGGTAAAAATAGTCGCTGAAAAGGGTCACAGTTACTTATCAGACCGATAAGAATAAACACAAAACTGACTTCAAATCCTTCTGTGTGATCTGTCCAGCTGGCCCAAGATTGCCCACATACAGTGTTGTAATGGTCGTATCTGCAGGCGGTTCCAGCGCTGGTAGTGCCTAAAAGGGGCAATTTTGGGGTGCTATTCGCAGTCACTAAACTAGGTTTATTACAAAAACATAAAATTGACCAATGGAAACTAAGGATACTGAAAAACAAAAGAAAACTCGCATACCCATAACGAAAAAACTTAGAGTAAGAACAAAAAAGTACCTTTGCTCTATTCATAATCTTCTCAGCAACTGGGTCATTACTACCATAGTATCTATCTCTAATATTCTGTGTAGAAAGCGGATCATCTGGATCTGATGGCTTCTCGTGACTGTAATACAGATCACATTGAAAAGCGAAATCCAGAATGGAGAATAAACCCACCGATAAGGGCATTCTTCGCCTCTTTTACATTCACCCTTCACATAGAATGAGCAAATATGTGGTGCGTTCCTCTTGTAGTATGGAGCAGTTCGGGCCAAGCGTTTTAGCATCTCCGCTCCAGATGAGTCGGGAACATTTGCCAATGCACCAACTGGTGTCGTGCCGTCTGTATTGGCGAGTGCTCTAGACAAAAAAATGAACTAAAAATTTTCAACGACAAAGAAGCCCGTGACGCTTACCTCTCTACATTCTGTAGGTAAAAATCTCTATTCGCTCCTTGCTTTGGTATGTTATCAGCAATTTGTAACGCAGCATCACGTACTTGTACAGGCAAACCTGCAACAATTATTGCGAATCTGACGATGTTCAATATGTTCAAACATACCATATTCCAAATCAAACATGCATGTTTGACAGACGTTCTTCACTTTAGCACAAGTTTGACATAATTCAGTGCTCTTGTAACGGGCTCCTTTTCCTGGCTGCCAACGAAAATTTGTGAATGGACGTTCGCAAATTTTGCATTCTTTGCCAAACTTGTCCTTCATCTGTAATCAATTATAATTCGAAAATACGACAAAAACGTCTTCATGGTGGTAATTCGTTCGATGAACCAGAATTGAAATTAAATCATAAAAATGGATTAAAAACTTTGAGTGAACAATCCACTTCTCTTCATGAGCAGGGGTAAACTGAAATAGACGATAATGATACTCACCATTCTCAAGTATGGATTACTTCCTAAGCATGTTTGACAAAGAATCGGAAAATCTGCATCCTCCCAGTTTCTTCGATTGTACTGCGTGTATGACGATTTTGACATCGACATGGTTACCTACAAGACATGATGTCTTTTTTATGGCAAAACTATAGGATCTCATAATGGAATATGTATAAAATAAGTAGCAGGTGCTTCAACAGCTAGCACAAAATGAAAAAAATGGAACACATCAAAGCCAGAAATTTATTAATAACAAAAAAGTCCATAAATTACCAGTGAATAACAAAGATCAGCCTAGCATCAATAACAATCAGGGACACCTCTTGCATACCCAAAGCTAATAACAACAAAGAATTTTCAGAAAAAAAAATAGAAATCTGTCAATATGGTAAACATTGCGACAATGAGATGGAAGATAAAAAGTGACAACATGACTACGTACGACAGGAGAGATTTCAGGTTACCAGATGATAGCAGAAATGTTTTTTCATAAGGAATTAAGGTGCGAACGAAGGATATCCGCTAATTTTGCAAGCGGGACATCCTAAAAATTGTTTTGTTATATAAGGTGAATATAATTGACTTGAAGAAGACGTGAACAAAAACAGACAGATTAATCCCACCTGCTCCTCTCTTGTTTTCACATTTCTCAACTTGATGACGCCTTCTTGTAATTCGCGTTCGCCCACAATCAACACATAAGGAATGAGTCGATCCTCGCAATATTGCAGTTGGGTTAACAACTTTGGATTCGCTTTATAAGCCATTTCCACCTGAACAGTGCAAATAAGTGCGACAGCGCAAAAAAAAAACAACGGAGCTCGCCTTGAAGCCCTCATTCCAAAGTTGTCCACACAGCTTCATACGCTCTTGCAACAAGTTCTTTTGAGCAGACGCAATAAACACTTGTGTTTCCGTGGTACGCACTTGCATTTGTTCAATCTACAATGCGATAAAAACGAGAACATAAATTGAAATGCATCAGTGAAAAACAATACCTGCATTTTCGCTTCCATAATAGCAAACAATCGCTCAATGCCAAAAGAAACTCCCACACATGGCACGTCTTGACGCTTTTCTTTCCCCTTAGATCCCGTTGGGCCGATGAAATTGCCTACCAACTCATCATATCTGGAGATATTAGGGTGATGATAGAATTGTCGCACGCTTAGCTGCAGTGTATTCCAACTGAGTGTCACGGTGAGACGCGAGCCTTCGCGAGCCGCATCGCTTTAGTCTCCCGCCGCGTTCGTCCTTGAGGGATACGTTATCTTCTCAAGCTTGAGGAGTAGGAAACATCTTATCCTTAGGCATAGGCTGCGAGCCTAGAAAAAATCCCCGAGAATCGTTCGGAACACTGGTCGAGTGGACCAAGCGAGGCGTTCGCGAGGACCCGAGAAGCGCCGCCAATAACACTCAGATGGATGTGTTTGTCAAGGGTCACGGTGCTGATGATTGACAAACAAAAAACACCAAATTCAAAAACAGAAAAAACTGACGCACCTTCCTCCCGCAGCAACTGATCCTACACCAACAGGCAATCCTTTCTGTTCCTCACCATTTGCTTCTAGACTAACACCTTCCAGAGCTTCTAAAACAGATAAGGAGACATTGCATTTCGAACCAATTCTATCACACAAACTAACTTGGGACAACAGCTTCGTAGATAGCACCCGTATAGTAATCTAATCCTCTTGCCAATGACGGGTCGAACTTCACCGTTTTGACGCCAAAAAGAGTGCAGTAGTTGACAAGCACCCAAAAATCAAGCATCAATTCCCATAATGCTAATGCCTAGAAGGATGCTTACTTTGAGTTCGTCGACGCCTTTCTTGAACTTCGGATTCTTCGATAGATCCTCGAATTCCATCAACTTATCCAGAAGGTCAAGGCTGTCCATGGATGGATTGAACTCTTAAATATTCAAAAAAATCTAACAAGGTCAAAGTCTTGTAATAAATGCGAGAAATCTCATTGATACCTCTTAATCTGACGAATTGACCCAGCTTCTCCGTGTTCTCCTTTGTCAAACCCTTTTCTTTGATTAGCTCCTCTTCGACCTATACATTATGATAAAAGGGAGAAGAATGAGCATGATAAAACACAAAAAACAAAAAGAGTACGAACGATCAAGAGCAAACCTCACACCAAGGTACTTTATCGAGCTTGTCTATGGACGAGCAGACAGTTTTGAACTGATCAGCGCCAGCTCCACAAGCTGCGAACATGCCTTCCAAGAGATAACGGTGATTCAACTAAAAAAGATAAACGATGTGATCGGCTGAAGGACCTGAAGGAAGACTTATAGTTGTTACCTTCACGAAGAACTCGCCAATCTCGAGTTTCGAAAGAACTTCATCTACAATTTTCAAGCACTCTGCTTCGGGAATCATCAGATCATATTGGCCTGCGATATCGAAATCCTGTAGCAATGGAAAAAATGAACTGAAATGAACCAGCAAAACAATCACTTACACACTGATAGAATTCTCGATACCGCCCTCTGGTCATGACAGGCTGGTCTCGTCGGTAGACTTTGGCTATATGGTATCTTTTGATGTTTGAGATCTTATTCATGGCTAGATATCTAGCAAAAGGAACCTGAACTTGGATCTATGCAGATGCTAGCAGATAATGCAAAATGTTTAAAGAACTCAACACTCACAAAAAACAAAAAGAAAAGACGAATAAAGACAGCAGAAAATGAAACTCACTGTGAGGTCGTACCGCAATGATAGCAATTCACCTCCCTGATCTTGTAAATCATAGACAAGTTTACCACCTTCTTCACCATATTTACCCATTAGAACCTAGTGAGAAACAGAAATCAAATTACAAAGTTATGAACTTCTGTGATGATGAAATAGATCTCCATGTCAATCTTACATCTCTGAGTTCAAATACTGGAGTATCGATGGTTTCAGCCCCATGTCTTTTGAAAGCATCAACAACAACTTTGAGGACAGACTCCCTCACAGCCATCGATTTCGGCCCATAGTCCCGCGTCCCTGAACAATTCAAGATAGATCTTAACCTCAAAGGCATTGTCTTCAAACTGAAGATAGTGAGATTTTGATGCTATATAGTACTGCAGCCCCTAACCAGATAATCCCAAGTCCTGCTGCAAAAGATGAATTTCGGGAAGAAAAAATCGCTCTAGAAGGTACTAGTGATTCAAAAGTGGTTGGTCTGACAATAACAAGTCCAAAATTGGGCTTCAATGTATCTATAGTTGTAAAAATCCGTCCTTTATCACGATTATCAGACCTTCACCTTTCACCTATCCTGAAGCACATTGACCTCATTAAATCAGACTATCCATTGATGAGGAGCCCCTTGGCCCTTCTAAGTTCTGGTATTTTCTTGCTTCGTAATACGTCTTCTGCAACGGGACGTCAGCTATTACTTGAGGACTGCCCTATGATAAAGCATAATCTCACCATCCTCAATCTCGCTGGACGGTGCAAATCCTTACAAAAAAAAGTGAAAAACAACGGAAGGGGCAATTTTGTACTAAGAGAGTTACCTTTGGGAGTCTTAAGCACAAATTTTCCCTGATCAGCTTGACCATCACCAAGAAGTTTCTTCTTTTCTAACATCGCAGCTATTTTTGCTTTAATCTGAACATAACTAACATATACTTTAGAACAGTAAAAGAATAATTTAACAGATGCATAAAAGTAGATCAAATCAACAAAAGAAAGCTCGCGCACCCTTCTGCCACTGCGGTGTGTATATATGACAGGCTTCTTTACAGTACAGTAACAAAGGCTTTGTCGAAGAAAACGCGAAGAGATCATCTTTGGAGGTCAGCACCGCTATAAAACATATTAAGTGTAAGATTGCATCATGCAACTGGTTTCGAAGGTACTAATGCGACAAATTTAAATAATTCATTAATTCGAGAAAAGCGCTGGCAGCATGATGCAATCAGAAAAGAGGTAAATCACGCAGAATCACGCATGATGAATTCTTATTGTTAGATAGAAGAGCAAAATCCATATAAACACCGCATGGCAGAAGGTACTTATGTGAGCGGTTACATGAAACGAACCAACGTCGGATCGGCTTTTTCCGTTTTCAAAGACCTAATTTCGTCCCCCATAGCTTTAATCTCTTCTTGTAACACTTTCAACTCCGCTTCATCCATGTTCTTGGTCTGTGTCGATTTTACCTAGTGAAAATACAGCAGATAACTGTGACATAGCATTTTAGAGGGAGGGAGAACGCTCAGCTAAAACTTCACTTCAGGAAGTTTAAAGGCAGTGTCCCACCAGATTGGGGGTATCTGGTTCTCGTAATGATGTGATAGTAGACCCCCTACCTAAGCGATGACTGAAGTTCGGAGCGAAAAAGGGGGTCTACCAAGCCTGAAATTTGCTCCGAAAGTGGGCCGAATCTTACGGTAGGGCCGAACGCCGCCCACACGGCAATATCGATTTGCAGGGCCAGAGTGCGTATAGCGCACACATCATGAGTGCAGGGACCCGCAGCAACCCTGCGTCTCTACCTTGCGTTCACCTCGCACTCGCCCGTTCCTACCGTAAGATTCGGCCCACTTTCGGAGCAAATTTCAGGCTTGGTAGACCCCCTTTTTCGCTCCGAACTTCAGTCATCGCTTAGGTAGGTGCCAGAGTAAGCGAATATTTTGTTCAGCTTCGTTCAGCTGCAAAAGGCGCACAGAATTAACGTTGATTCTGCGCGGGACCCGCAGCTGAAGCAGGCCTTGGCAGCAGTAGAGATTATGCAGCAGACATTAATTCTACGCGCCTTCTGCAGCTGAACGAAGCTGAACAAAATATTCGCTTACTCTGGCACCTACCTTAGTTAGGGGGTCTACTATTACATCATTACGAGAGCCAGGTACCCCCAATCTGGTGGGACGCTGCCTTTAAGCTGAGCGATTACGCTGATTCTTCATTTAAGAATTATTCTTTGTAAAAAGAATAATTCTTAAATGAACACATACGAGAAACATGGAGATTCTCCATGCGTAAAATGATTCAAAATCAAAGAAACCACAGTTGGAAACTATTCCAAGCCTTAGAAGTAGAAAAGCTAAAAAAAATGAATGAAGGCACATGTGCAATTGTGCGGCGTAAGAGTATGGGCGGAGCGTCAAATACGAAACTGAAATAGTTTGCAATCTGAAGTGTTGTAGTGAGAATTCTCCAACATCTCCAATCAAGTGAGACTGTGCGATGATCTTGATAGATAGTATGAAAAATCATGTAATAAAGCTGGAATGCTCATCACAAACGAACCCTTACCAAGAAAATTTCTAGATTATTACATCAGTATTTGACGAGAGGAAGTGAAATCTCTGCCACGTGTGAGGAGTTGGTCTGTCACTTTCTGTACTAGTTATTAGGTTGTTTGGGGAATAACCGCATCATCAACTATCATTCTATGTCAAAAAAATCATTTACATGAATAAAATTAAAAGAGGTACTGTTCGATATAGCAAAGCGACTCTATAAAAGAAGAAAACATCCACAAAAGTTCGATTTACGTGAAGTTCGAAGCCACATTTTCAAAGGTTTTAGGAGATTCAAGAAATCGCATTGTCCAAAAATCCCTAGGGACCCGCTACCTCCTCACGCACACAATTTAAACGTCGGACACTTGCATGCAAAGTCCCGTGTTTTTCCCATGGCTAGAAATTGAGAAAGCAAATAATCTTCATCTCTATTGCGCCGTACAGGTTTGTTATGGCGACAGATTTCTCCGTACTGGCCTGACGTTTCGGCGCTTTCGTCGTCTTCAAAGGCCTAAAAACGACTCAAGGCATCATTCGTAGTACCAGACCACCAGGTATCTATCTCCCCTATCTCAGCCAGTTTCGATTTCATTCTAACTTTGCGTCACAAAAATCTCAAGACAGTTATACTCACCCTTGCTCCACCGCTATTCGAAATGTCCGCAGGTCTGGATGTGACAAAAGTTGACGGAAGTGAGTGATACAGAAGAATGTGCATCAAGTCGCTATCTACTATCTATAATTCACACAGTGGCATAGGCCCCTGACAGACTTCAGCGATTTGATCGTCGCGACTCAATCGCCGACATTTCCATTCATTTTCATTTCACATTCAGAAATTTCGGGCTGGAAAAGTATCACAAACGAAATGCAAGTTGATCGGCATGGAATGATGTTGTAACAGTTGTCTCGTCGCGATTCAGTCGCGACGATTAAATCGCGTGAAGTCTGTCCGGGGCCATATACGGCAGAAACTCAGCGGTTATAGACAGGCACTCCTTATTGTTATTCATTTCTGGAGTCTTTGCGGATATCCAGAAAGCTTCTAGAATCTTTCTAGCCGTAATATCTGTTTTAAACGCCAAAATTTTACATTTGACTGCAAATTTCCCTCATGCGATTCACCCTAATGGGGTTACTAAACTCTTTCGTCTCCTGCCTGCCATATGTTCTTTTAAGTGTATGTTCAACACTCTACCAGTTTCACCAATGTATTTTCTTTGCAATCGAGGCATTCGAGTTGGTATACTCTTCCTTGCGCAGTCACCTCTGCTGCATGGGCACACAATGCAATTCTCCATTACACATTGTCGATCGTAAATGCGATGGGCAATGGGCGATTTCGCGGGCCCAGGTACTAGAAGTTTTATTTTGATTAAGATACCGGACAACAATTTCAAATAACAGCTTGTCCGTAAGTGCGACGGGGGGAGCAGAATCCCCTCCAGGTGAAGGGGGTTTTGACTATTTCTGACCCGTAAAAGTGGGGGTATATGGGGGAAAAGAAGAAAGTACAGGGCTTTTCAACATTAGAGTCACAGCCTCCGCTTGCGCGGCTCCTTTAACGCGGCCGCCTCGCTCAGGCCGCGCGCGGCGTTTGCTGCGCATCGCCCGGATTTCGCCAAGCTTCAGTCGACGCGCAGCCTGGTGCCGCGAACGCTGCGCGGACCTAAGCGTGGAGGCCGAGCGAGGCGGCTGTGACACTCAGGTTGTAAAGCCCTGTAAATGGTACAGAGGTGTGATATGAAGATATCCTCAATGCTTAGGCTTTGGAAAACCATTCAATAGAGACCTTTTTGACTCAAGAAAGCTTCATGTTTCATCACTCGACATACCATTCGAAGGCTTGGAACATACAGAATCGACCTATACCGTCTCTTTTTTTCCTGTGAGTTCAGATATAAAAAAATCATATCTAGCTCCAGCATCACTGATTTTATGCCATCACTTTGAGCTCTTTCTGAAAGAAAGAGAAAAGCTAGAAAAAAAAGAGACGGTCTAAGTTTTGCTAGCGGAGATTTGCTCTGTTAGGGTTAGACAACTGGGCACTCCAGCACAAGCTAGTTCAGATTTTCTACTCTTGCTCAACGTTTTCTTGCGACAATGTGTATTCGTTGATACAATGTTAATTATTCAAAGAATCAGACATCCTTTTATTGGTTATGTTCCGTTATCAACGCCACTTTGAGCGCGCAAAAGGTGTCAAGCATGCGTTTTCCAACAAAACGCTGTTGCTTCGATACTCTTTTGCAGCCTTGATGTCTGAGGAGAAGAGTAATTGGCGTTTCCTTTCCAAACAAAAAGTGCCATTGTAACAGCTGTTTGATTCTGTCGTTATGCATTGATTTCAACCTCAACCTCAGGAAGGAGTCAGCCGGATGTCGGCCTCAAAGTGAAGGGGGTCAGAATTCCTCCACCTATCATATCTATGGTCCGCGATCGCCTTTACGATCGACAATGTATAACGGAGAATTGCGGTGTGTGTCCACAGCAGAGAAAGCTGACTGCGCGAGGGTGGGAGTAATATACCAACTCGAATGCCTCGATTGCAAAGCAAAATATATCGGCGAAAGGTAGAGTGTTGAACCTGCACTTAAAAGAACATATGGCAGACAAGAGACGGAAGAGTCTAGTAATCTCATTAGGCAAACATAGGAGTGACGCGCATGAGAGAAATGATTTTGCAGTAAAAACAAAATTTTGGCGTTTGAAACAGATATTACGGCTAGAAAGTTCTTAGAAGCTATGCCACTGTGTGAGTTATAGATAGTAGATAGCGACTTGATGCACATTCTACTGTATCATTCACTTGTCAACTTTTGTCGCATCCAGACGTGCGGACATTTTCAATAGCGATGGTGCAAGCGTGAGTATATCTGTTTTGAGAATTCTTGTGACGCAAAGTTAGAATGAAATTAAAACTGGCTGAATAAGGAAATATCTGGTGGTCTGGTATTACGTATCATGCAGTGAATTGTTTTTAGGCCTTTGAAGACGACGAAAGCGCCGAAACGTTAGGCCAGTACGGATAAATATGCCACCTTAACAAACCTGTACGGCAAATAGAGTTGAAGATTATAAGCAATGCCCAGGTTCAAAGAAAACAGAACATGGAAATTATTGAGAAAGCAAATTTATTTGACATGTTTTTGTCATGGCAATCCTGAGCTTATCATAAATAGGTGGTTCTGTAGTTCAAAGTTTTGAGAGTATAACCATGAGTTTTCATTCTGCAATCTATCAGAAGATATCAAATCCATCCCAAGAAGAAGTTCAAAAACGCCAAACACGCTCTTTTGACCGAGCTTTGTTTGTCGTGTTCTATCCATGAGAAAATTCCACAAACTATATATTTGAATGTCTAACGTGAAGAGTACATTTTCTTATTCTCGCATTGTTCCCTTGTATAGGCGTTCGAAAAACCGTGACGACGACGCGACCGCGCAACACGCACGCGCCTTCCGCCAACCGTATTTCCTCATTTTTTGTTTATACTCGACTAGTTTTTCTGCTTAGGTATGATAGCACTTGGATATTGGAAGTGACTGAGCTGAGCGTTAAGGTGATGCCTTTTTGTATAAGGATAATATGCTCCTGTGGGCGCAAAGACCGCAGTCAAATCCGTCATCACAATTTTGTAAAAGAAACTTATTTGTCTGCTAATTTTTCAATATCATTTCGTTCAATACAATCTCGCCATTTTATAGCAAAAAAGAACAGCAAAAAATTTTCAGACGTACACTACGAACCGTAACAGTGAATCATCATATCTACTGCTACTCTTATTAGCCGTTTCCATTCTTCGCGATCTCCAGCTTGATGTTGACTCATTTGAAGTTCCAAGTGTGCTTCAGCTTTATCCATCCATCTTAGTTTCTGTCTTCCTTTTGGTCTCTTCCTTGATATCTACAGACAA